CCCCAAAACCCCAAAACCCCAAAACCCCAAAACCCCAAAACCCCAAAACCCCATTTTGAATTAAAATTATTGATCTTTTGTGAACTATAATTTATTTTTGAATTTAAAATGGGTAAGCGACACCCAATATTTACTAAAGGAATCCTTCTCTGGATAGGGCTGCTTATGATGAGGCATACACTAGCAGCGGTACTTTCTAATGTAGGCGTTAGAAGCGCAGACCAGACGGTGAGTTCAGTCACAACACTCACTTTGTTCTCAACCATAGTTACTGCCATTGATGCTGGAGGCAGATTTGAGATTGTTGTTCCAGCTACAACATCTATTTCATCAGGAATTCTAGCATGTACTATGGTTGAGCCAAGTTCAATCGGAATATCTTGCAGCGGAAATGCAGTAACAAGAAAGATTACAGTGACACTTAATAATGCTATGGCTGGGAGCACTTTCTTTCAAGTTGATATCAATGGGTTCACTAATCCCGATTCCACCAAGACTACTGATACCTTTGAATTTTATACCTTCAATTCTGCAGGAACTGGGCTTGATAATAGAGCTTCTAGTACATTCTTGACAGCAACAGCAGGAGCTTTGAGTTCTATTTCTCTGACAGCCACTGATCAGACAGTTGCAGCACTCAATACTGTCAACTTTAATTTTACCACTACTCATAAAGTGACTAAAGGAGGAACAATTCGAGTAGTTATTCCAAAATGGGACCCAAATGCTGTGTCTACAACACCTCAATCCATGGTACAGGGAAGTTTCATATGTGCTGCTCTTGAGAACTTAGAAGGAACTATCTCATGAGCTTTTGATAGTACTACTGATATCTTGACGGTTTCAAATGCTTTTACCTCAGCTGATATTTCAGCAGGGACTGTTCTTAGGTTCAGCCTATCAGGAATAAGAAATCCAATCTCCACTGCACCAAAAACAGGATTTACCATATCTACTATTTCTGGGGATGGAGGGACAGTAGACTCTTCAGCAGCTACATTAACTGTTTCAAACTCTGCAGCCATTATTTTCCAGAAATTAGAGAGCAATGTTACAAAAATTGTACAAGAAAATGCAACTATTGGGCTAACTTTTACATCTCCAGTTCCTCTTGAGGTAGGATGAATCCTTCGATTTGTTTTACCTCCAACTTTACCACTCTCAAGCTCTTATTTGAAAAGTATCAGAACTGTTGGATTATTTGGAACAGCAAGGGATTTCTCAAGTTGGACCATGGATACATCAACAAGGACAATAACGATTACTGATGGTTGAACTTCCTATTTGACAAACACAGTCCCTGCTTTAATCGAATTTAAAAATATTCAAAATCCCTTAAGTACAAGACCGACTGATAGTATAACCATTACATTGACAGATTCAGCCGGATTTGGAATTGCTACAATATCAACAGGCATTCAATATGTAGCAACTTTTGGTCAGATGGTTTCTGGATCTCTTTCAGCAAATCCGACTACTATTGGCTCTATTTCAGCAGTTTCAGTGAGCTTATTCCCAACACATAAAATTACAACTGCAGGTGCATTGAAATTCACTTTCCCTTCAGACATTTCATTTCCTTCTCCTACATGCACTCTATCATTTAGAGAGAATATCCAGGCTGGGGCTACCTGCTCGGCTTCTGGACAAGTCGTTAGAATAACAAATCCTTTCTTAACAGATTATATCCCGTCATCTTCAACAACCTCAACGATTAGATTTGTGATTAACAGTGTCCAAATGCCAGCCACTACAGCTCCAACAGGAACATTTTCGTTTGAAAGTGTTCTTGTTGACGGTTCTATTGATTATGTTATTGATAAAACCTCATATACAAATCTTGTGACTGCAACAGCTGGGACAATAACCTCAGCAACTGTTACCCCAAGCTCAACTCTTGCTAATGATCTGGCGTCGTATACTATTACATTCACGAATGCAAACCAGATTGTACAGGATGGTAAAGTCCAAGTGACTCTTCCAAGTGAAATAGTATTTCCAACTCCTTCAACTACTGCTAATTCATGCACAGCTATTTCAGGTGTGGGTACATCACTTATATGTGAAGCTACAACTAATACGCTAACTATTAATAGTGGGTTCTCTAGCGGTGCATTGGCAGCAGGGAATACAATCAGCTTTAGAATAAGTAATGTTAGGAATCCCTCTTCTCTAAAGCCAAGCTCTTCCTTCACAATAAAGACACTGAGTGACACTGATTTTGATATTGATAAGATTGATACAGGAGTATTGGTCACAATGGTAACCTTTAATAACATTGTGCTTGCAGAGATTACTCCTGAAAGTTTAGTGAATGGAGCAACTACAAATCTTGACTTTAAAATTGTATCCCCTTCTCCTCTTCAGAATGGTGATCTTCTATATATTACCTTTCCAACTAGTGTAAAAACCCCTTCCTTGCCCATTAGCTGTTCTGGAACTACAGCATTGTCAGGAATTGTCTGTACAAGAGATTCAACAGGACCAGATGTAATTAAGATTGTCCTAAACTTCTCAGGGACTACAAGCGTTGAGGCAAGTGAGCTGCTTGAATTTAAAATAAGTAACTGAGTAAATCCTACAACCACAGAACCAAGTGGTTTGTTTGGATTCACCATAACGGATAGCCTAAATTTCACAATAAACTCATGGAGTGGGACTGTCAGAGTAACCACAACTGAAGGTGCTACCTTATTGACTCCAAGTATTCTGCCAAGTAGTACTGTAGCCAGAGCAGATATCAACCTCATATTTACTTTCACTCTGGTACATGATATTCCTTCAACTGGAGTGATTTACATATACTATCCTTCTTCAGTAGGATATACAGCAGCTAATCTTGGGTGCCAATGTATTGATTTTTCATCTGGAGGATCAACATCTACTTGCACTTGAGAGAAACAAACTGTCAGCGGGAGAGACAGAATTATTTTTAGAAATGCATTTGCTTCAGGACTCACTGGAGGATCGACAGTAAGAATTACTTTAATTGGTCTGAGTAACCCAAGCACAGCAGATACGACTAATAGCTTTGAAATATTTACAGAAACTAGTGAGACTGGTGGATATGAGATAGATAAGGTCACCACTGGGCTTACTTTGAAATCTGATTGAGATTATCCTTGCCTTACTTGCTCCACTAGTAGTTCTACTTGAACATCATGAATAGTAACTCTCCAAGCATTTAAACTTGAAGATACAAACTGTGTCCTTACTTGCTCTGATGACAAATTTTATAATTCTACATCTAATGTTTGAGAGGCTTGTGCTCCTCAATGAGGAGCTTGCTCGACTATAGACAAATCTTTATGTATAAAATGAGGACTAACAGGTTATGAATTTTTACACCTTGGAACATGCTCTGATACTTGTCCTGGGAGATTCTTCGGAAATTCGACTACTAATACCTGAGATTCATGAAATACTGCTAGTGCACATTGATTAAATTGTGAAGGAACTTCAACTAACTGAATATCCTGTGATACTTCTTCAGCTTACAAATATCTTCATAACAACTTATGTATATCTTCTTGCCCAGCCAATTTATATATTCAAAATGATACCCTTGGGAAATGAGTAGCATGAGACTCTAATTGTGGAACTTGCTCTGGGACGACAACCCATTGTACATCATGTAGTGGAAATAATAAATTAGACTTAAGAACTAACACTTGAGTAGCAACGTGAGAAACAGGAAAGACAATAGTCACTGGTAACACTTGTGTAGCATGTGACTCAAGCTGAAATACATGAGCAGGTACAACTACCACTTGTACTTCTTGCACAGGCGGAACTGTCTTAACTTCGGACTATACTTGAGCTTCTACCTGCACAAATACTAATGAAATAGTTGTTGGCAACACTTGAACAAGATGAACTCCTACTTGCACAAGATGTCAAGACACTATAACCAATTGCACTCAATGTGCTACAGATTATGCATTGCACCAAAATGAATGAATTTCTGATTGCCCACAAAAATATGAAGATCAAAATCAAGTATGAGTTTATGTAGGTTTGGTCTGCCCAACAAATTATGTTTCTGATGAAACTCAAGAGTCATGTATACCTCTTCTTAAGGAATGCAAAGGAGGAAAAGTATTGAATTCGAGCAAGACCAAATGTATCCCTCCAGGAGATATTGCTCCTTTCCCGATTCTATGAGTTGTCTTTTGATTAATAATTGTTGTGATTTCTGGCAAATGAAAAGATAAATCACGATCCAAAATTGTAGCTAATCTAATTCCTCTTCTTGGACTTTTAGAAATACCTGCAATTATCTTATTAGCATTTACTGCACTGTTTATTGATGAATTGTTAATATTTGGCATAGCAATGGTAGCTGCTGCCCTTGCAATCCTACTTAATATTATAATGAATAGACTATTTGCCAAATATACAAGACCAGATGAAGATTTCCAATTCTTTGCAAAGAGATATCCAAAGACAAGTGAGTTCCTACCATTCCTCAGCCTAGTATGGAGCTTTAGAGTGCTCAAATTCTTCTATTCTGGGTTCTTTGGCCAAGACACATGAATGCTAACTTTGAGTAATGCAGAAGGTTCATTTATGAAGTACTTTAGAAGAATTACTTATTGATACTTCTTCCTAGTACATCTCCCGGTTTACTTTGCATGTGCGCTAGGAATAATGTCTATTGAATGGGGATTCCAAGCTCTTGTTGAATGTATAGAGGTTCCTATAGTGCTATTAATCATTTTACTTTTATGCATTTTTGAAAAATGATATGACAAATCTTACTTAAAGCAAGACCCATATCTCCCACTAAACGGAATGAAGAAATTTAAAGATGATCTTGCTGTAATGTCAGCAGCTCCTCACTACGGAGCCTCTAGAGATAGACTTGCAGAAGAGGAGAGTAAGACAGATAACTATACAGTCAGCCATGAAGGAGATCATAACTATATGAAAGATATGGAATACGATGTTGAGCTACGAAAGAAAGCACTCGAAAGCATCATTAATCATGTCAAAAATCCTGAAAGAAGGAACTCCTTGTTTGATGATGATAGAAGTATCAGTAACTGAACCTTCTTTGAAGAGGAAAAGTATGAATCAAGTCAGAGAAGAAAGATGCACAGGCCTCCTCGAAGAGCATTCTCTTTTAAAGGTCTTAATCCGATTGATGAGGAAGACGAATTCTTACTTTCTGATGAATCAAGTGAAAGTGACTACAGAGATATGAGATTTGAGAAGCCTCCTCCTAAGATAGAACGCCGTATGAGTTTTCCAATGAGAGCAGATGAGTTGGAAACTGTTGAGAACCCTATCTTCCATGAAGCTATTGATGAATACAGAAATACTATGAAGCAAGATCTTCAAGATAACTGATATGCTGACAGTAAACCTCCAAAGCCAGTAATTATCCATGAGCCTCCTGTAATGGCTGAGATGGGCACACAGACAGTCCTTAGAGATCTTCTGTTTGATGAAGAGGACTCAGATGAGGACCTAGATAGAGCTGAAGCTGAAGATGTAGAAATAGAGTCTAATTTTGCTGGAAATCTCATCGGAGATGTCATTGACCAAATATCTGAAAGTAGTGCCTTCAAAGAGAAGAAGGTACTTGATGCAGACAGGCTGAAAGAGATCCCAGAATTCGAACTTGAGGACATCCTTGGAGAATTCGATGTTGATGAAGAAGGGAACTTCATATTAAACTCTGAAAATGGAACTGCTGTTGATAACAACGGTAAGCGAGTCAACTCTAAAGGCTATTTCATTGATGAGGAAGGTAATATTATTAATAAGAAAGGAGAACTTATTTTTTACGCTCATGAAATTAACGATGATGGAGAGATTCCAGCTCCCTTTGTCTATGAGAAACACAAGAATGATTTCTTAGCCAAAGCAATGAACAAAAGAGAAGGCAAAGACCTTGAACAGGATTATCTTGTTGATGACGACGAGGATCTGGTTGAGGAAGAGCTTAAGAAGTTGAGGCCAAGCTCAAGAGAAAGCTCTGTTGAAAGCTTAGTAGCTGATAATCCTGGGATGTATATTGATGATAAGGTTTCCAGAAGCAAATTTTCAGCACAGGTGTCTCCAGAAACAAATCTGGATGCTGAAAGAGTAAGCAAAGGAAGACAAAGTAAAATTAGTCCAAAGAGAAAGCCTATCACCTTCCATGATGTAGAGTTAGCTCATTCTTATGGAGGAAAACCAAAAGGTAACCTAGCTCCTAAGAAAATTAAAGGACAGCCCAAAAGAATTAAAAGAGAGGATACAAGAGAGTTGTTCCCTTCACTGGCAGTAGAGAATCAAGCCCAGTCTAAGCTCTCTAAGATTATGGATAACATCTCAAAGAAGGATCTAGATAATTCTTCAGATACTACAAAAATAGAAAAAAATAAAGAGCTAATGAATAGATTGCAAAAACTTAAAGATGAGCATTTCAGAGATCTTGATTCTGATGAACTAGGAGAACTGAACATGGATCTTATTGAACAGAAAATAGATGATTTTGATTACAACAGGCAAAAAGAATATGATGAGAAGATGAAGAGGCATATAGAATCTGGAATCAGTACCTTTACAAAACCTCCGCTTTACACAAGTAGTAACTTCTACAACCAAAATCGGATGCCATTCCTAAACTCAGACCTTCTTCCTAACCAGTCTCACTCTCGGAAGGCATTATCTAAACTGAACAATCATTCAATTATGGATGGGCGGAACAAGACCAAGCCTATGAGTGGACTTCAGAAGATCTACGGAAATCTGGGAGAACTTGTCGTCCCTACTGAACAGAGAGACTTTCAACAAAAGAGCCGGATGTATTCCCCAGGTAGCACATCCACCATAAAATCTCCCTTCTCTAAAAGACTAAACCGGAGCAAGTACGAGCCTGATTCCCGAATCCGAGGTCTTGAGATGATCTACATGCAAAAACTTGAGAAGCAGAAGAAGGACAAGAACAGCCACAAGAAGAAGGCCAAGTTCAGAACCTTGTACAACCGATATATTGACGACCAGAGCATCATGGATGCTGACTTTTAACAAGCCTAATATTTGGCTGTTCAATAGAGCTCTACTGGGCAGGGGTTTTGGGGTTTTGGGGTTTTGGGGTTTTGGGG